AAATTATTTCTTCATCTTGTATATTTACTATGATTTATTTACCAATATTTCTTCACCATTCTCTCTCTCCAAACTACCTGCAAATGATTCCAACATTTGCTTTTGCTTTGCCATCACAGTTCTATCTCTGCAAAATCTCCATCTATATTTGTTCTCTCTATCTCTCTCATCTTGGGTGCATCCGAACTTTTATAAGAGGAGGTTCAAATGTGTGGTAAAAATAACTCCATTTAAAAGATTATCAATCAGAAGAAAAATAAATACGACTGCTCATGGGTTACTATCATTTGATACCATTCTTTTGAACTAAAGTTCAAAGGTAGATTTGTACTTTTCTTTCAACGAAATTTCAGTATGTATGTTGATAAATAATACGTTGTACATCCTTTGGCATTATCATCATTTTGGAACAAAATTAAAGTTTTTTAGTTTGAGATTTGAAGTTGAATGATTGTGAATGAAGAAATAGGGCTTCTTGTTAAAATTTTAAATTTCATTTTTGGCTTGTGATATTTCACTGCACGTGTTATTGGTCCCTTCATTATCTTTGACCTTGCATTTGCTATACACAACGATATACACATAGTGAAGTCCAGAAATATTTACATATTTAGCTTTGCATTCGCAATTTGTCATGATCTTTGCATTTTTATAGTGGGCCCTATTAATGTCATCTGATTCTACAAGTAATCGAGATATACACCTCGACAATGCCCTAAATAAAGTTTAGATTGTGCTACGAAAGCATCGACAAGCCCTAATAACCCAAATAGGATGTACTATAGATGTCTATTATGTGGGTTCTTCCAATGGTGTGATGAATATGTTACCACTGTGCAAAATGTCAATTTAAGGCATCGCAATACACAACAGTGGAATCCAATGCATGAATCACAAGGACGTGTCATGGTCAATCCAGAAACAAGTATTGGCCATGATACGATACTAGGGGTCATAGGGCGTTTACAACAAGTTTTGCTCCATGCCCCTTGGGCATTTGCAACAATTATTGTATTTCTTGTGTATAATAAATGTGTGCTTGCTTGCGCTCATGTTTTTTATTTTTGTAGTCCTTATTCAAAATATGTTATACTTTTTTTTTTTTACTAATGTAATTATTTCTATTGTGGAGCTCAACTCATTCTCCTATTGCGTTTAATGTTATAGTTGAAAGTAAGAAAATGGTTCATGTTGTAGTTGTAGAACATTTGTAGGTTAAAGAAAATTACAATATGCAAATTGGCCTTGTAAGTGTTCCAATCTTCAGTAGCAGGCTTTCAATTGTTGGGAATGTAGTGTATATCAAATATCCTTATGAACAAAACAGGTGATCTAGATTAGGTGCTGACAAGATGTACTATTTTTATGATTTGGAGCCCGTATTCATATCCAACATCTCAAAGTTGACATGATTTATTGGTGAGTTTTTCAGAGTTGAACAACTTTTTTGGATGGGTTTTTTAGGTTCACCTCACTTCTATAATATGTGGTTGAAATCTAATATGAACGTTTTCCAAGATGAAATTACAGTATCAAAGGTGACCACATCCGAGAAGTGATGGTAGAACACCCTTGACATGTCATCTACCTATAGTAGGTTGACGATGTAATCCTCTTCATCTAATTTCACTGTATAGAAAAAAGATGGATTGGATCTCTTCATATCGATTAACCATTCCATCGCACGTTTGCCATCTTCGCCTTTGAATTTTATTTTCTTGTTTCGTAATTGGTTTTTGATGTCTTTTTGGGAGAAAGGGAAATTACCAATCTCTCCAACCTGCTCTAATAAGATATCATAGATATTCTGAGATTTTACCAAAGGAGAGCTCATGGAGTTTATCATTAACTTTGTCGCATACGATATTGTTCGGTGAGAACTGATGAGTAGAGATTTCCTTGGAGATACGAGATTGTGATTGTGTTCCTTCACAAACCTTGTGACAACCCACTCATTGTTGGCAATTATACTTATGCACATCTTTGCTCCACATCCACATCTTTTTTGAGGCAAAATTTTTCTAGATTGCACTTGATTCACCATATGGAATCCTTCCTTAGAAAATTAATATTCCCCATCAATCTCTTTCCATCCTTATTCTTGTGAGTATTTCCCTTTCTGACACCAAACCCTTCCACCAAGGCAAAAGCCTTGTAAAACTCTTATGCATCATTTTCATCACCAAATCTCATTCCCACACGGCTCTATTTCAGATCCCTTGGAGGACAACGCATGCTCCCCGTTTTCGAGAATGTGGACTTATTGGAGGCGGGGTTGCAAGTAGGGGATCTTGCTCCATGGACTCTACAATATCCCCCATGTTGTTATACTCTGAACATGTGGTGGATGCCACACTTTCTGAAATGGTGAGGTCCATCTCAAGTACTAAAAGTTCCCTACATAAAACACAATTTATTTGTCAATTAATGGCTTCAACACTTCACATATTTTGAAAAAATTAATTTGACAATCTCCATATCTTATCTCTTGGTCGTTAAGTTTAGTTGGTTATGAAGCCTTATTCCATAGAATATAACTCATTGTGAATTTTTAGATTGACTACAGTTCCTTGCTCTACTCACAGAGAGAAGAGAACTCACATAGAAACACAATTTTTTCCATATTTCAATATATTTTATCAATCGTAATTCCTAATTGGATGGCCTTTCTATGCACAGTCAACTTCAATTTAGGGACTCATATTGTTTTAGAAAACATTTGGTTCCTAATCTGGGCCGCCGGCCCCTATATTTTAAGGGGAGATTACCCGTTAGTTCAGCTTTCCTTATTATTGTTAATTGACAACTCAAAGACCTAACTCATTAACAAAATGTTCATAGAATGATTGTTAAATAAAATTAAATATAAGAATCTCCAAACAGTCCTTGTCATTTCAAGATTAATCATAATAACGTTTTTTTGTTTTTTTGAAAAAAAGGAGCAAGGCATTGTCCACTCTTAAGAAAGACGGGTTCCATCGACTCAAACTTTCAAACATCCATGTTCTACCCTAGGGTGATCTTTTAATTGAAAATGAAAATGAGAAAATAAAATTTTAAACTTCCAAAATATATTATTAACTTTTTTTTTGCATTGTCTATTTTGGTTGCCGTTTCTTTAACGTCCATCTTAAAGATGGATGTTCTATAGTCCGGGGATGTAAGCACCCCCAACTCACAAAATAACTTTCCTGTCAAAACCGCCCAAGCATGATTGGAATAAGGGAGTGTGATCACCCTAGTCTTGCCCCCACCTATTCTCTCTCGTTCCTTTTTTGGCTTTTTATTATTATTAATACAAAATAAGTCTTGGATACCTTACTCAGAATAGACGGGTGATCGGCTGTATCCCACCAATCCAGTTTCTAAAACACTTAATTATTGTCAAAGGCTCTTGTACCTGGAAACTACACATTGTGAAGTTATTGATAACATTTCATTATCATTTGTACCCTATCCAACACTCCCAAAGAAAAATGTCGTAACCTTAAAACCATGGTGTGTTCGATGTTAGTGATGTCTGACATCCCTAATTCTTTGCCTTTAAGTTTTCCAATGTTGCGAATGCTAGACACCTCATTCCTCAGCAAGAGGCTTGCCCAGTGTTGAAAATATCGTGCAGCCAAGGGGAATGAATTGGATAGGTTAGGTTATCTGATGCTGCTAACACCGAACAGCATGTTCCTTGGCAAGAGTCCCTGACCAGTGTTGAAAATATTTAACCGCTCAAAGGCAAGGATTTGGAAATGCTTGGCGGATTGATGTTGCAAACACTGGACACCTCGTTTCTTAGCAAGAGAAATCTTCGAGGTGTTGAAAATATCAAACAACTCAAAGGCAAACATTAGGAGATGTCCGATATCATTAAAGTCGAATGTGTTGTGGGTTTTAGGGCTATCCAATATTATCAATATCAAGAAGACAAAGAAATAGGGGTGTTCTGCGTTTCCGATTTCCAATAGGCCTTGAAAATGAAAAGTTATAAGATACAAAATAAAAGTGAATTTCTCACCTGTCAGATATTGGAAATACCAGGCTGGAGGCAAAACTAAAAAAATGACGTGGGTTAGCGAGTGGTGTCCATGTAAATTTCAGAAAATATGGAGCGTACAATAATAAATTGGGAAAAAACGATACGTGCGTAAATTTTCCTCTTTTTTATAGGAGGCTTTGGTTTGGGTTTCATACTTCTATGCTTTACATTAAATGACTAAACAACCACTCCAATATGGATTAATTGTCAAATTAATACTGATTGCCAAAAAAAACTTCTATAACGACGTAATGACTGAAATAATCGAACAATAAAAACCGCGTGGTAATAGGGCTGAGAATTTAGAGGGTCCGGATCCACCCAGATCCTAATCTGGATCTGAAAAGTAACATGGGATTTGGATATGATTGCAACAGAATGGTTGAATCCGATAGGATCCAAATATTTTACATGGGATCCGGATTGAAAATAGAGGGAGTATCGGGGTTCGATGTTAACAGTATCAGACCACCCAAGTTTTTCTTCTTTTATAAGTGAAAATGGTCCATGTTTCGGACAACTGACGTCCAATTCAAACTCATCATAAATAATGATGGGGTAGACTAATGTTTCCAATTTCAGAATGCTCTAAAAATTGATTGATCCGATATCTGGGGTACCGACACTATCCCAAAATTCAAATATGAAATACAATCATGATCATTGGGTAGGCCCTGATTGAATCTAGACCGTTGGGCTCGTATGTAGCTGTAGGCCCACTGGCCTATGTTTTACCTTCACCGGAACTCGCACCTCGAGCACCGGAGCTTTGGGCAGATGTCGCTCCGATGCTTCCGCTCCCTGAATCGGAGCCATTCCCGCTCTCGCTCCCGTTAGATTACTACGAGTTTAACCAAGGCGATACTATACTTTCATAGCTTTTAAAGACATTAAATAAACAAGAAGTTGGTGGTGGTTGTTTCAACAATAGTGCCATTAAAATCGTAAATATCGAACAAAAAGGAACTCAAAACTTGAAGAACTGCGGTAGGGCAGACCTGTAACCATCTAAAGCATGTTCAGATGGAGAATGCCAGTGAAACTCCTCAAGTACGAATTGGGTTCCGTTGATGTTTATCCCACCAGCACTCCCTTTCTCCCATTCCAACTGTTGTCTGCAAGCAAAACATAGAAACTTTATGAATATCCAAGAAAATGATTTTAATTACATGCAATGGAAAGGATAAAACAATCTCGATGTATGGGAAAATGATTTTAATTACATGTAATGAAAAGGATGAAAAAATCTTGATGTATGGGAAATTGATTTTCATTAATTGTAATGAAAAGGATGAAAAAATCTTGTGAATTTGGCTAAATCTTGAATTTTTTATGTTTTAATCAATGAATCTCACCCAAGGTGAGGCATTTTGTGGGTGTGTTGATGCCTACTTGGGTTAATACATTGGATATGGATTTGGGTAAAAAAGGGGGAAGTGAATAAAGAAACCTCGCCAACTGATGCGCCCAAAAGTTTTGATGAAAAGGTCAACAACAACAAATTTGAGAATGGGATGGGCCTTTGGCAGTACTACTGTCAAGCCCCATGATAAAGTCTCTGACTCTATTCTAATGAAATAGTAGGGGCCCAAATCCCAACTGACTTTTCCCTTTGGAAAAGGGGTTAGGGTCGTGATGGTAGCATTTCCTATATCTCAGTAGTACGTTGTAGCTTCTATTCTCGCTAATAACTTCAAAAACTACCAAGGATTTTAAAAAACGTTGTAGGGGCCTATATTCCCCACTGTATTTACCCAAAAGAAAAGGTAAACGACCTTCGTTTTCAAGGTTGTAAAAAACATTGTTTCAAGTCAACATTTACCGCTTACTAATGAAAACCAAGATAGCGGAACATCTCAATCATATTTCGGATTCTCATACCCCAATGCCATGGCCAGAGTTTGCCAGTTTGGCCTTTGCAGCCTCATATCGAGCCTTTAGGCTCTTTAAGCTATGGTCGTATATGGCATTTGCATGAATGATATCAATGGGTGATTGCATGGTGCCCTTGGAGCATGCCACCCATTTAGAGCGGAGCCTGCCCCAATTTTCCTGTCCATTCCTGCTACCTTCCAAATAGCTGAACTCAGCTTTCTCTACTGCAAAATCATCAAACCACATCATTTTGAGTATGCATTTCTAGAGAAGCATTGAGAAAAAGAAAGTACACAATGAAAATATACCAGAAAAGAAAAAGAAAATGATGCAAAATAATGAATGAATATTATCTTATCACATAGGAGGGTGAACTGAGATTGAAATATAGTGAAGAAACTGTTGTGGTTTTTGTTGTTCTTTTCAACTCATTTAAAAGAAGCAAAAAATAAAAATAAAAATAGAAATATAAGTACCCCCACACTGAGAGGGAGAGAGACAGGAGAGATTATTTCTAGTGGGCATTCCAATAATATGATCATCTTGAATATTGACTTGTAAGAATCATTTTTAGGGGATCAGTGGTTCCTTGACTAATTTTGTAAATTAATGCTTCAGAAAAAACTACAAGAGAACTTTGTAGACATTCCATTTGTCAAAAATAAAATAAAAAAAATATAAGGGAAACTACTTCGTGGTTTTGAGATAAGAAATTAGCCAAAATATATAGTAGAAGAGGGTGTGAAGCAATGGCAAATCAACAAGGGCTATAAGAGAATCACAACCAAGAATATGGAGGGTTTTAATGGATATTCCACTAAGTAATAAAACCATGCGATTGATTACCATGATCATCGCAGGAGACCAGGAAAGGATAAAAGAAAACGAGAATGATGAAGGAAGACGAGAGGTTCATATTCATCTAACACAAAAGCTTATTGTTTTCACGAAAGCTTACAGTGAGGTTATAGTTGATCTCTTTCTTATTTATAAAGAGGAGACGTTGGAGAGTACGAGGTGACTTTAGCCACACGGTAACTGGAAAAAGTATGACATGCCAGCCAAAGTTTACTTTGGAGATTAATTAAGAATTAGAGAAGGTTCATTGGGTGATTTTTTCATTACAACATGACGATATTTTCTTCAATTTCAAACACGTATTGTCTCTAGAAAAGCCCTTCTATTCAAAATCCATAAAAAAAGGAAAAACACAAGGAAATCATTGTACTCGTTCTGGTTTTGCATGTTAATCTCCATTCCTAAGTCCTAACAAACTTGTGTGGAAAAGAGTTACATTGAAAGTTTCTATTTCGAATAAGTCTAAACACTCCATGTCTCTTTGCTCGAGTAACAATAAACTTTGTGAGTACGTTTGCATTTCGTAATCCAACTG